GTGAGGTGTAAAAAGGGATGACTAATTGTAAGTTAGAAAGGAGACAGAAGTTGGCATGACCTAATAAGTGTGAGATAATGACTAATCAATAAGCTCGTGTAGAATGGACAGGAACTAATGGAGAGGCTATAAAGTAGTTTTGTATAAGATGTGTGAAAAAGCAATGTTATTATTAAACAGTAATAGAGTGGTAATAAAATGTTGATGGTGGGAATAATAGTAATAATAATAATAATAGTGAACTTACGTATTAAAAGAGAGGAGCAAAATTACAGTAAGAAATTTACTCTGGCCATGGTAGGCCCAGAGAATGTATGTATCGTTTTTGTATGCACAAGTCCGGCTTTAGGTCTCGAATAGCTAATGCCTCAGCTATATACAGATGTCGTATCCGGAGTCCTTTTGTACGATATTGAGGGACTCTGTGTACCACTGTGAAGCATTCATGCAAGTGGGGGTGCTAGATGTCCGGAGATGACAAGGTGTTCGAGGACTGAGCTGTTGCTATTCTTCTTTCCTCCTCTGGCTAACCAAGCTGGGCAGTTTTCCAGGATACGTTTGTGGACTTGACGTTGCGTACGGCCGATATACTTTGCTCCACAAGAGCAAGTAAATTGATAAATACACATTGAAGTGGCCAAAAGCGGTATATTGTCCTTAACGTTAGACTGGATTAACTGTCTGCAGGAGAATGTTATACGTGGAGTGGCTGTTGGGAATGTCTTCTTCAGACTTTTTGAAAGGCGGTTTCTGAGAATTTCCGTTGCGATGTCACCTTTGAATTCTAGGTTCATTATTATTATTATTTAAACGCAGAAAAAACTTGGTACAATATGGCACCAAGAAAGATGAGCCACACTAAATTTCATTTGTTGTATGGGGCTGAGATACTGCCCAGCCGCGTAGACCTAAGCAGGTGGTTTTCTTAAGGGACCCCCCCCCCGAACCATTGACTTGGAGTCTAATCCGCAGGGCAGTAGAGCAGCGTCAGGAGCTGCATTCCCATGGTTGACGGTGAGCCATATGGGTTCATATGCCATTTGATCCCATTGGATTCTGGAGCCCATGTACCCCATGGTAACTGCTTTTAGTCTAACCGCTATCCAAGCAACCTTCCTGACATGGTAGGACCTGCAGGGACATGAGTCCCAGTCAGTTTAGCTTGTTGGGTCACTGCGGTATTCAAGCCCGACCACCACGATAAGGTAGCAGTTGTCGGCCAGTCGTACAGTAGTACACTTTAACTAACCAGATGTCTCATTAACACGAAAGATAACACAAGATGACAAAATTAGCCAGGTAAATCTTGTCAAAAATTCATTAACGACTCTTGTTGTTTTTTTCTCCAAACTGATGCAACCGCCCCGCAGCTTTTTTCACACCTAAGCTGGCTAAATTCTTTAAAATTTGGATATTCTTAATTCTTGTGGTGTGACTATTTATTTTCTAAAAATCTTATTTCCATTTTGATTGCAGGGACCAAACTTCGAATATTCTACTGAAACGCATGAAGAGTTACTTTATAACAAAGAAAAGTTATTGCAGAATGGTGATAGATGGGAAGTGGAAATTTCAGAGAATCTGAAAGCAGATTATGTGTATCGTTAAGGCGTTAAACAGAGGTTGTCTGTACATGAATATTGGCAAAAAAAGTTTGGTCATTTCATCTTCAACTAGTTTGCAGTAATTTATTTTGATTGCTAGATATTTTTCATCCAACCGCGTAGATAACTCATAGGCAAACAAATATATAAAATAAAATGCTTATTTCAGGGGTGTTTTTCTTATTTCTTCACAGAAAGTGTATTGGTTTTAACTTGGTTTCTTCAGTGTTGTACAGTTTTCTGTATAAATATTCGATGAAGCTTTAAGGTAGATGAAAAGATAAGCTGTCTTCGATCATAGGTGCCTGCGTTCTATCTCCCTCCCGTGTGAAGTGGTATAATAAGGTGAGCAATATTGCGGTTAGGCTTCGGTCGAGTGCTAGGTAGGTGGGAGGGGAAATCAATCGACGAGGCTGTGAAGTTACATCGACTGAGATGGTTAGGACATGTGTTACGTATGCCTGGTCATCGCTTTCCTCAACGGACGGGCAATGTTAGCTGATATAGGGTCAGGCTGGAATAGAGCTAGCGGCGGTCAAACCAAAACGTGGCACCAGTCAATAGAATCCAAAACAGTCAGTTTAAGTCACGTAGGAAGGTATAGAATTCCTGACTGGTTGGGGTCCTCGGGACAGTAAAAACCAGTGGCTGGAAACAATTGGTGATATGGCTCAAAATCGTTCTCAATGGCTAGCGCAGATGCATCCATTCCTTGTGACTTATGATTTCCAATGAAACTATATTGTTCTTCGTTATTACTATTCCTTTATCTCCCACCTCTGTTTTTTGTTTCCTTCACGTTCCCAGTGGAACATAGGGTCTCAGGTTAGTGGCTTGAAGTTTCTGTAGCAGTGTTTAATTTTACAGGATGGGGTTGCTGGCCTTGTGCCCAACTTTTCTTCTTTACCACCATTATTTCTGGCTCAGTGAGGTCTCTACTATGCATTTCTTCTCTTGCTTTGTGTGCTACATGGAGTTTGGCGACTTGAACTGCTGCACATCGGTGCAAAATTCTATGTCGAAAACAGACAGACAGATGTAACTTGTGTGGTTAGAGTGAATAGTAAAGTTCAAAGTGATCATTAGGTTGGCTTCCAATACCGTTCGGTTAAATAAGTTTGAAGAATTTGACTGACTGACTGATCAGGATTCGAATAACGAAAACGCAATCACCGTCCACAGAACAGACTTACCATATTTTAATAGTGTATCTACGTATAAGGATAAAACTTGGGCACTGTGGTAGAGTATAATTCCACTATGGATAAAATTAGTTATTTTGATAAAGTCACACAGTGTTATACAGTAGTATTTACTGATGCGACCACGTTTTAAGCACGGTTTGTTGCCACTCATAATCATATCAAGGTACTCACACAACTTTATTGCTTCGTTTATGTATGTGAGTAGTGTATCTACGTAGTTTACTTTAATGTAACTAAGTGTTATATGCAATGTAGGAATTACTTTGACTGGACACTAATTAGTTTGTTTTAGTGCAGACTAAATTCTATCAGTCATGTTTGCAATGTGGCCACCATGCCGCCAGGTGGCTCGCACCATCACGGTGCACTCTGAATTAAGGATATCAGATGGTTGGAGGCAATCGGCACCAGGAAGCCTCGCCTGATACCTAGGTTTCGTGATTGCTGATACTCACTAGTCAGTAAGGTGTGTCTGCAAGCTTGAAGGAAGTGTTACCACTTCTGTGACTCGAACTGGCACCACCCAGTGCTCAAGTCAGAGACGTTACTACTCTGAAGAGACATGAGAGTTCCTTCAAGCTTGCAGATAAGCCTTGCTGACTGACAAGTGCCAATAATCACGAAACCAATACCTGCCGATTGCCTCAGTCTAATACCAACAATGTAGCGATTGAGTGTTTCCATCGGTTTAATTTTTTTGAAATCTTAGCTCACTGTATACCCCCAAATTGAATCACTGAGGTGCAGTGATTTGTGTGTCTTTAAAGCTGTCAAGATCCGGGCTATTTGGTGTAGCATCATATTAACCCTGAGAGACAGGAAGTGGTTTATACTTTGTATCTGGCGACTAGTCAATTAATTTTAAGTTTATAGATACACACATAGAAGTGGCACAGCTAGGTAGCTTGTCTTTCACTTGAGCAGTCATAATTGGTTGGTTGGAAAATGACAAGCAAAGGGTGGCGGTAGAAATAAGTCCGTTTGATCGCTCTCGATAATCTCAGATGTAAGACTTCGCTAGCCAGGTCCCCATTAAATTGCAATTTCAGGAATAGATGTTTCTTTTCAACTGTCGTCAGTTTCTCTTTATTGTACCTGTTGTTCATGTGTATCCTTACAAATCTACTAGGATAATCCATTTAGACCAGCGTATTTTGGATGTATCCTAACTCATTTTGTTTGGAGTCATCTGTACATATACGTCTTGCTCTATTCGTGAGGCATCTGATCAAATTGACTTCGTATCGGATTGGTACAAAACTGAGGAAATGTGTAAATTGTCCTTCAGATGTAGGTTTTCTATAGACATCTCTCTTGAGTGAACCATCCTCTCTTCTGCTTAATTGGGCGTCAAGGAAGTGTAGTCTACCATCATGTTCTTCTTCACAAGTGAAGATGATAGATGGATGTACATCATTAAATTTTGTGTTAACATTTCATTCTTGTCAGCTTTCGCTTCAAGAATAATAAACGTATCATCAACATAGCGAAAATAAGAATCAGTTTTATCTATGACTTGTTTCAATGGACCATTTTCAACCTTAGTAAAAAAGAAATCTGCCAAAATTGGCCCCAGTGGACAACCCATGGCATTGCCGTCGACAGCGATAAAGTAGCGACGTGAAAATGGAATTCAAGGTTTCTTTGGAGGAAAGGCTACCTCGTGAAACTACCGAAGAAGGGAGACTTACGCCTCACTCTGCAAGAACTGGCGAGGAATCATGCTCCTGTCGACGCCAAGTAAAATCCTGAGTTGCATCATCCTGCAGAGATTAAAGGACGCACTGGATACAGAACTCCGACCAAAACAAGCTGGATTCAGGAAAGGCAAATCATGTTCTGACCAAATCGCAACTCTGCGCATCGTCATCGTCGAACAAAGCATGGAATGGCAATCAAACCTCTACCTCAACTTTATAGACTTCGAGAAGGCCTTCACTAGATAGCGTTGACCGCAAAGTAATATAGAAACTACTCGTGTACTACTGCGTACAGTGCCCCAAATATTCATCAACCTTATTCAACGGCTGCTGTACGACAACGGCACATGTCAAGTGATCCACAACGGGAAATTCAGCGGGGTATTTGGAGTAAACACAAGAGTCAGACAAGGGTGTCTGCTTATTATCACCAATGATATTCCTAAATGTGATGGACTGACTGGATTATGCGTCAGATAGTGAGTGGGAAACGAGAAGACAGGAAGGGATATCCTGGACCGACCGGCATGGAGAACCTAGAAGACCTGGATTCCGCGCGTGGATGGTTTATGCTTGGTGTCACACAAAACCGAAGACTTACAAGCGAAAACCGACCGACAAACTGTCCGGCCGAAGAAGCAGCCGGCGAAGACAGGACTCCAGGCGAACATAGACAAGACGGGGGTTATGAAAACAACCAACAACAACATCCAGCGTCAATCACCATCAACGGGAGGGATTTGAAAGAGGTCACTTCATTCACTCACTTATCTAGCATTGAGCATTGCCTCAACTACAGGCAGGTGGAACGGACGAGGATGTCAAATCGAGCGAGAATCGGGAAGGCGAGAAACACACACATTCATCAACCTGAAATCAATCTGGAAAACCAATCTTCGTCACTCAGCCAGCATCAACAACAAAATTCAGTAGGATTTTCAATACAAACCTGGTCAAGTCAGTCAGTTCTTCTATACGGATGAGAAACTTGGTGGGTGGGTCACAAAGAATATTTCCAACCAACAACCTGTTGCGATGCAGACATTTATCAAGCAACAACTGTCTTCGCTGGATGTATACTGAAGATCGGATGGCCGGGCCGGGGCGGAAAGAATCACCAACAAGAAACTATGAGAACAAACAAGACAAGAGCAAACCAATCGCCCAACAGATGTACAGGAGAGAGTGGAGATGGATGGAATGGACACTCGCTCGATGATGAGGCCGCCGCTGGGTGACATCGCGCGCATGTCAGGCCATTTCTCGAGTGGAACCAGGCCGAAATGGAAGCGGCGAGTGGGACGACAGTGCAAGGGTGACATGTAGGAGATCGTGTGAAGAGGAGTATGGACTAACATGGATGCAGGTGAAAAGTACAGTAGAAGACAACCAAGTGGAGACGTGCAGTTGAAGCCCTATGTCCCACTAGGAACCCAAGGGAATAATAATAGTAATAATAATAAGGAAAGTCAGTTGGTGCAGTTGTAAAGCTTCGTTGACTGAGATGGCTACCATATAAATTGTACGCACTCAGAACCACTGCCTCTCTTGTCAAACGCTATTAGCTGAGTTAAGGGTCAAACTAAAACAAAGCACCATTCCATGAATTGATTGACTTTTGATTCGAGACACGTAGAATGTTTCTCATAGCTACTTAGAATCAACAGTTGGTGAAATGACTCAAAATTGGTCGCTTATACGTGACCTTTGATATTCATGAAATCGTCATCCTTCTTCATCTGTTTATCCGTTGAATGGACATCCGCTGTTTAAAGTTTTGAGGGTAACTGTCTACTTTTCCGTTGATTTTTTGTTATACTCACTTAGTTAACAATAAATGGAAAGCATTAGCAAACAACACAACGCGTGAACTGTTTTCCTATAACTCGGATTTATCGACAACAAGAGTTTGCTTGGCGCATCATTAAGGGGACTTCAAACAAACTACACACCTTCATGAACAAGTGTCTTCGCCCAATACTTAAGATCCAATGGCTAGAAAAGATCTGCAATGGGGAGGGATTTTTGGGTGTGGTGAGAGCTGGCTGCTAGCCGAAAACTGGTAGACAGTAATTTACGTCGATGTTCACGTCCCCAATATTGGTCAAGAGAAAAATAAGAACAAAGACTGATTCAACAACCAACCACAGCATACTTTGTTTGCGTAGGCGGATACAATTTGCAGATAGACAATCTGAACTTCAAGAAACGACCACAAAGAGATGAAAGATTAAAGTTAAGCGAGAAACCACCAATCAGAAGATTGTGTTTTTCTGCTTACAATAATCTGTATTAATGTACATGAAAATCTATAAATACCTGTTGATTTCCTTAATAAAAGATCTGTTTCCTGGCCCTTCTGTAATTTTACAGCGTGTACTTAAACATAGTGGGGATCCGTTTGAAATATGTGGTGTTATTCTTGAAATAAAAGCTCCATACCAGTAACTTATTTACAGTTCACAGTTTGCTAGAAGAAGAAAGGATTACCAGCAGCTGTGATATGGGCTGTAGGATAAAGGATAGCTGTGTCAGATTAGCACCCGTTGGTGAATCACGACTTCCTGTTTGGAGGGTGTCTGTAGACGTGTTAAAAAACTTTGTTCATAATCTAAATCCAATAGGAAACATGCTAAAGTTTCTTTTTTTCCTTTCTCATTCTGAAAGTTAGTACCTATTCGCTTGAATGTAACTTCTATTCCGTTTTGTTTTTACTCGCTTATGTAACACATGTCAGCTGTCCCAGTCTTTTGACGGCTAACTTATGTTCGTGGATACGAAGACGAAGAGGACGTCGTCCACTTTGGCCAATCTAGTGTTTTGCTCAGTTGTTGCGACTTATTTTTCAGATGATGTTAGTTTTAACTTCTTTCACTGTTGAGTCTTTTGATTGACATAGAACTGAGTGAAGTGATTTTGTTTCTTTTATATATGCGACATCAATTCCTAAAGGTTTGAAGAGTCTTGTAGTGATTTCTGAGATATCCTTTATATAAGGTAAGGCGATTTTCTTTGTGCTTTCCTTGGGACCTTTTGGTTTGTTAGGTTAGCTTATAGGTATATATCTTTCGATAAAATCTGTGGATATTCATTCTTTTGGGAGACGTTCATGAGATAGCTAGCCGTCAAAAGACGCGACATCCACTCCCTCGTATCGCCTCACTGCATAGAGACAACCACAGACATCAATTCGACTATGACAACCAACATTCAAATATTAGACAGAGGAAACAACAAGAATGCTAGAGAATTTTTAGAAGCCAGCTTGGTATTCCAGTGAATCATCAATCAACAGACACACATCGAGATACACAAAATTTATCAACCGATAAGAAAGAAACCTCATACACACACACACACACACAAAGGGTCAAAATTCAAGTCAAAGAAACAATCAGTTCGAACACCACAAGTAGCTGTCTAGAAGGTGTGAAAACCTACAGAAAAACAACCAATCACGACGTCGAATGTCCAGTCACCAGGCGAGATGAATAATAAACTCGTGGAGAAATCTAAAATCCCACTTCAAATTGAAGTATGCGCTGAAGATGTCGCCTAGTGGTGGGGCGATGAAAGCTTCGCAAATTAACTATCCAGCTGCTCAGAGAACACACAACCACATCAAAATCATCCACCTGAGCTACAAATCTTCTCTATCATATTTATGTTTACTGTAGTAGACACAAGTGCTGGATTGTGTTCTACTAACATTTTACTTGAATTTATCATTCGCAACACCTCCTTTGTATGGTGTCCTTCAGGAATGCGTACTGTCCCCATTTCTGTTTAATTTCATCATAGATGTACTAATGGACTTAACCCGTCTAACTGACTTCAGCAACTCGAGGATACACTTGTTGCTTGTTGGGGATAATCTCATCAACGTAGAATATGCGACTCACATAGTTCTCATACGTGATGGCATCTACAAAGTGTAAGCTCTTCTGAATACCATGAGGAGCAGCAGTCTTTGTATATTTGGCATGCAATTCTCTCCCATTAAATGTAAGATAATGCTACAGGATTGAACTACACTGATTCACTACTGGCTTAAAGATAGTAAGTGAAGTCGTTAGGCGTGTTGAGCACTTCGCTTATTTGGGCAATTGTATCAGCCCCAACGCTATGTCAGCACGGATAACATTAGGCACGTGTGACATCAACTAGCCTATATCACCTCTGGCGTAGACGTGATATCTGACTGCTCAGCAGTTTGCTCCGTCCTCTTTTATAGCTATGAGACATAGCCACTGAAAGTGGAAGAAATGAAACTCCTAGCTGTTTTGATCATAGGTGTCTGCATTCTATCTGCCGTGTCGCGTGGTATAATAATACGGTGAGGCATTGGTCGAGTGCTAGGTAAGGAGAGGAAATCGATTGACGAGGTTTTGAAACTACATCGATTGAGATGGTTAGGATATGTGTTACACATGTGCATCCCTAACCATCGCCTTCCTCGACACAACAGGCGATGTTAGCTGACGGATTGATCACATTGGAAAAGAGAGAGCTGGTGGTGGTCAAACCAAAACATGGTTTCATCAGTCAGCGAAATCCATAACGGTTAGTTTAAGCCAACGAGTCACGTAGGGAGGTGTGGACTGGTTGACTGACTGGTCGGGGTCGTCGGGATGGTAAAAACCAATGACGGCTGGAAACAATTGATGATATCGCTCAAAATCCTACTTGTCAATAGCTGGTGCAGATACATTCATTCTTTGTTGTTTGTCATATCCGATAAAAATTTATTGTTCTTCCATATTACTCCTCTTCTTCGTCCGTCACACTCCTGTTTATTATCTGTCTTTTAAATATCTCTTCTCTTGCTTTGTATGGCGTGTGGCGACTTGGACTGCTGAGTTCTGTGTTGAAACCAGTCAGTCTTATGTCCCTGGTGTAAAACTCCTGGATACCTTGGCTTTAGTGATTTGATTATGTAAAAATGCTTCTGTTGTTAACATTACTTATTTTTTGACTAACTTAAACATATTTTCAGATGTTGGTTTTGTAGGGATTTGGTTTGATTGTATGGAGGATTTAATCATGAGCTGACATCAGTTAGAGAACCACTGGAAAACCTGCCAGGGAGTACTGGACAGCTGTTTCGTCCTAGTTTGGGACTCCTCAGCAGTACGCACCCACCGGGGTTCGAACCCAGGACCTTCTGGTTACAAGGCGAGCTCGTAGACCACTGAGTCACTGGGACCCGATCCAATGGCTCTTGAATTCTAACTTCTGCCAGTTCACGACATAGCGCGACCACTTCGCAATGTCTTCTTCGATGAGTTACTGCCTCATCTTCGACCTGCTGTACCCTACTGGTCACGGCTTCCCACTGGAACCATATTTGTTAAGAACCCAAGAAAAGTTATCTAAACGAATACTTTTTATCTACTTATGAGTGGTTAACTTAATAATAATAATAATACTAATTTACTTTATTCCAAAAACAGAACTTGTGATACAGTATGGAATTTTCAGCATTAATCACAATATTGCATCTAATTTCCTCAAATTATAAATAGAATTAATCACACAGAAAAGTTTCCACATTTACAATAGGGACAATGTCAAAAACATGCAGCATATATAAATGAAATAATAATAATGTTAACAGCTAAGGTAATAATAATACAAGTGAAAATTGGCGTGGGCTTGTTTCACACAGTATTGTCAGTGTGGCATAGAAATCCTAGCATGTTTAAAAATATTGAATATAACGTTCTCTTTACATGATATGGTGAGGGGAAAAACAAAGATTACAGAAGTCATAGAGATAAATTGGTGTTTGCAATTATGCGAGAGAGTAAAACAAAGAAGCAACAGGACCATAAATATAATAGAAATAATAAAAGTAAAACTTGAAGGTATATAAGGATGGATGGTGGAAATTGTTTATTTACTAGATGAAAAAAGGTTAGTCAATTCTCGCCTGACACTATTTTCATCACATAAAATACGTGCCAAGTATGGTATCATAGAATTGCTATGCTTAGATGTGCGAGCATACAGTTTTCTGAAGTTACTTCTTGTTCTACCTGAGGAGATGCAAGGTGAGAGCTGAGGGTAAAGTGGATACTCCAAGTCAGACAA